CCTGTAGTTCACACCCTAAATAAATCTTAATAGTCTACTTTTCTTCTTCCTTTAAACGGAAACCTTTGCATTTGCAAGCAGAATCCCAACAATGAAAACAAGAAAAAGGAGAAAAACTATTGCAGTGCCTCAGTCAGTCCCCCTGTTTTTGTTTTTTTTTTCCAGCAACATTCGGACATAATCTCCTCCTGTCACAAGGGGTCGTTACACTTAAAGGCCCACGTGGCACAATGGCAGAGGGCTACGAGATGAATGTTCTTTGTTGTCCTACCTTCTCTGAAGCGGCAGATGTAGGTTTTTCAAAGCGGAGAGACGTAGCCACAAGTATTCAGATGTGTTTTTGTTTGCGTCTGGTGCTTTTCCTGAAGTATTAGAGGTGGATAATAAATGAAAGCCAAGGCAAGAAAACACGACAGATCTGCAGAAAGGAGGAGAGCAAAGCAGGGAGGCCACATGTGGGCTAAAAGGAGGAGCTGTTTCAAGCAGGGGCTCATGTTTCTTGTGATGTCACACAGTCACTCCTAGCACTGGTCAAGAGGAGAATGGATCCTTCCCATAACAGCAGCACTAATGATCTGAACACACGCTGACTATAATCCATGGCTCTGAGACCACTCAAAATACAGTAAGCTCATTGTCTAAATCCATGATCAACTCATATTAAACGAAACATCAAGTTACATGAAATATGCTCAGATAATTAAACTGCTGCTGCATAAAAGCTGGACTAATTTCTCAAGTTTTGTGAGTTTTATGAATTGAATTGGGCCCTACAAATGGTAACGATACTACCAAGAAAATGTTAAAAGAATAATGTAGTAGGAATGCTGTAATAAAGACATTCCAGACAAAACCAGGAAATTATTTTAAATAGACCAGGAATAAATAAATGTTAAACAATTTAGTGTTAAACACGATGTAAATTTTAGAATTGATTCACTACAGTAAAAGAATGTAACAAAGAATTTACTGCAAGAGACTGCCCTATTGCTTCAGTAAATGATCACTTCCCAGATAAGCACCATTAATAAAACACATCGCTGCCAATAAACAAAAAAGCTGTATAGGATAAAGCAAAAGTTTCATAAGTCACACTTTTAGTAAGGGTGTCCAAGAAAAAGTACAAAAAATAAAATTGATTTGCTAGATTTCCGTGGTGCAATACTGCCACTTAGAGACAGCATTAAGAAGCTTGGGATCACACATTAGGCAGGGCGATATCTGGGTGGCACAGCGATATCTGGGTGGCACAATGCCTCAGCAGCTTGGGCTGCCCATCTCCAGGGCTCCAGGGTTATGGGTTTGCATAGAACCTCATATCCATAGGTAGGCCTAGGGAGACCAGCAGTTCTGAAAAGCTTACACTAAGTATCAGACAACAAAGACCGACAAGCTGTCTGGGTTTTACCCTGAACTATTTCAAGGTTACTTCCTGGACTTGGTTCGGGATTGTCGTTGCTCTACTTTGATGAATGGTTTCCAAAAATGGATAAATAAATATACATTTGCGAAGCTGAACTAACAAGATGAAAAATGCGTCAATAGTTTAAGATCACTCTGGGACACAAATTTGTTTCTGTTGCCTCTCACCACTTAAAAAGAACAATAACATAAGATATGGAAATATATTTAAGATGCATTCAATCCAGATGCACAAATACATAGTATATTGTTGATAACATCTACATACAATGGCTTACCCTAACTAAGCATATTGTGTAAGCATGGGCGTAAATTATGAGGGGTGGGGGGGATTGTAACCCCCCCCCAATGATCAACCAACAAATACAAACCCCTTGACCCTCTTAAATGGGTAGAGACCTCAACCCCTGCAATGCTCAACCCAAAGTTATGCCCTTGTGTGTAAGTATAGACACATCATAAGCATGCTGAAATTTGATATCTCTAGTTAAATTAAAAAAAGATTTGCTTAAAAAAAAAAAAGATTTTTCAAGCAACTGAAATGACAGAAGCTACACATTAGTACTTTTATGCTGATTCCATTCACATCAAATAACTGCTTTCAAAATCTGAAAGTCATTTTACATTCAGCTTTTCTGTTTGCTTTTTGGAGGATTAATTTAGTCAACAGCTCTGCCAGATCTAGCTGATAGCATTTGGTTTCCCCAAGTGTGTCAACACATCTTCATGCTAAATCTGTTTGGACGATGCAGGCTGCAGAGCGTTGGAAATGATACCCACACTGGTAACACTTGGTAAATTAATGGGGCACAAATACTTAATAATAACTCAGTTACTACTGAAGTTCAAATCATGTAGTCACTGCTTGAGATAATATTAATAATAGACAAACATTAATAATGGACAAACATGAGATCAGTATTTCACTTGTGTTATTCACGACTTGTTCCTTCAGTAGTTCACAAAGGTTTACAGAATTAACAGAGTAACAAACATAGTAACTGCATGAGATCAGTGTAAACCTAAGACTTGCAGTACTTTGTGGTTAATTAGTACATAAGTAATATCATGATGCTATATTATTTGTGCCCCGTCAAGTAAAGTGTTACCAATATACCTTTAGAGACAAACTGGCAGAAATTCAGTTTTGCACATAGGAATAGCTAAACATCGGTCTAGCTCAGGGAGGGCAAATTCATCTAACACTTCAAAAAATCTATATAGCTAAATTCTATCTATCAGTGTTTCATTGACGTTGGTAGATGAAAACTGTATGTTTAATGTGGGTAATTACAAAAAGTTACAGCAGCAGAAAAACACAAAGTACTGACTCTTAATTTCTTTGTTTGGCTAGGTTGTGAATTGGGAGAGAAGAATCTAAAATGCTATGTAATTTGACAAGTGTGCTTTCCTGTAGGGCTGTTTCTAGAGAGACAAAACTGACCCCCAAAATGGTAGCTTTTCAAGGTGAGTATTATGTGTGCTGCATGGCTTCATCTGTTTTAATGCCATAGATGTCACAATGGGGCGTGATGGAAGGACGATCCCAGTGTCACTTACAACTCAAGGCACTTTATTCAAGCAGAGCTCAGAGGTACATGTAACAAAACGGACCACAAGGGGTAAAAACAAAGGCAGGTAGGTTAAGGGAGGACAAACACGGGCTGGAATGCAAGAGTAAGCAGAGGGAACATGAGCAAAACCATATATTACATGTACATAAAAATTCAGGCAGGTAACACATACAATGACCTGCTAAAGAACACAGAAAAGGCAGGGGCGTATACATCTCTGGAAAAAATTAAGAGATCACTTGATATTTCTAAAACTTAAAACGAACAATAACATAAGATATGGAAATATATTTAAGATCCAGATGCACAAATACGTAGTATATTGTTGATAACATCTACATACAATGGCTTACCTTTAATCCTGGTTTACCATGGTTCTACTAGCAGAAGGTTACACTGCGAGGCAGGCTGTTTCCAGGCGGAGTGTTTCTAAGGCCAGGAAATATAATTATGTTAAATAGATATAAGATCAAAGTAAAGCAGAAGACACTGGGAACAACCAGAAACTAGCCTTCATGACCAAGTAGAGGGCAGAAGCAACCTTCTAATGCCAGAGATGACCAATCTCGTAGAAGCAGGACTGAAGACCCATGAAGCAAGGAAGAAGCGCTTCATTAAAGAGAAACAGGGAAGAGCCAGGCTGGAGTATTTTGCACACGTGCATGCCCATAAATTGTGAAACTGAAAAATTTGCTGTGGTCTCTTCATTTTTTCTAGAGCCGTATACATAGGACTTGACAAGAAACAGGTGTGGGCCATTTACAATGAAGAAAACACTAGTGCTAACTAGGAATGACAAAGATTAGATGTGGGTTATAATCATGAACGACTTAACCACTAGGAATGGGATTGTCAGTGACACCTGCTGGCCAAGCAGGAAAATGATAGACAGCACAGGACAGGCCAAGCACTGATCCTGACAACAGAACTGTAGTATCAAGGACCAGCATACTCCAAAGGACTTGAGCTACAGTCAGATCCATAATGTCCATAATGGAGGCCACACACACCTGCATCCTCAAACAACACAGTTTCTCCCTCAGTAACTCTGGTTGTACAATACTGAATAAATCTTGAATTCTGCCATCCATGTCACTCTCATGTGATCCTGGTATAGGTGAACTCCGGGGACTCCTGCAGATTTGTTTGGATATAGTCTCATATGCTCTATCATCACCCGATCCTGAGTGAAAAGTAATCCAGTGTGGTTATGGGATGGTAGGAGAAAGGACCAGGTGGAGGGTAATGTCATTGAAGGAGACTATGACAACACGGTCTGAGACGATATATATATACATAAACTAACATTCCTTTTCATAAATTTGTACTTGATGTATAATACATCCTAAATGTCAATGTTTAAATTGTGACTAACGTTAAATAATGTTTTCTGAGCACGGTTGTCCGTGCCGGAATAGCTCAGTTGGGAGAGCGTTAGACTGAAGATCTAAAGGTCCCTGGTTCGATCCCGGGTTCCGGCACGTATATAGGGAGGACTCCCCTCCTCGGTTCCATGGTGTAATGGTTAGCACTCTGGACTCTGAATCCAGCGATCCGAGTTCAAATCTCGGTGGAACCTGCATATTGTTATCCCCACACTGTTTCAAACGTTCCTGCCTAATTTCACATCTTTCTAACCTACACTACCTTGTGTAAATACAGTTGCATTATATTTTTCTTATTATATTGTTTTATTTAATTTTCAATATTATTTTAATCATATGCATCCATCCTTATTTTACAATTCAGGGAGTAGCTAGAAAACGTATTCACTGCACACGTGTACAGTGTATGTTCGCATGTAAGTCAGTATATTTAAAACATTAAACCGTTCACTGAGGGTGAATCATGAGCTCGTTCCCCGACGCATCATACTACAATTCCCAACCTGCACCGTGCAAACGCCTTTTGTATCATGCGACCACAATGAACGGTGTTTCTTGGGAATTACAGTTTCATTATCTGTTTCTCAGGCCGTCTTGTTCAGCGATTAGAACTCAATTTCCCAGATATCAACGCCAAGGATTCCTCCTTGCATATGATTTCCTGCTTGCATTCAGATGTAGAATTTAAGAAAGTGTCAGTTGTGCGAACTGTTGTTTAAGTATCTTTTTGTGGTTAAAGAAAAATGAAAAACATTAAAACAAACAATTAATACAATTTGCATAAATGAGAAAACGAGTGAAAATGTAAACTGAACAACTTGTTCGGCTAGCTGTTGTGTGACGCTGCAGAGAGTTCCTAGTTAGCTAGCTACATAGCTACAGTTATGTCAGCCTAGTAACATAGGTTGGGACACTAATGAATTAATTTATTGTCGTATGGTGTAAGATTTTTTTTTTTCAAAAGAGGACGAACGTATAAGATACCTGAAAGAGGCACCTGTTTAATACGATGGAGGAGGTTGATAGGATTTTAATTCATTCACTCAGACAGACTGGAACGTAAGTATCGTCGCTTTTCTATACAGCTAGCAAACCGGGGTACAAAGCAGGATTATCGCACAAAATCTCTGACAATTAATTTGTCATTTGGGTAGCCAGCTGCCCAAATTAATATTTTTTGGGTTTTTGTTAGTGGCAAGTTTCTTTTTGTGAAGATGTTTGTCAAAGGCTAGACAGTTCCGTTAGCAATTTAGCTACTCTAATTTTGTTTGCAGAAAAGTCAGTAACATTATCCCACGTTTCATTCATGTTACTGCGGCTTTTAGTGTCATTTGAGCGTATGTCTGCAGAATTGTTAGATTTTTATATCTGACGTTAAATTAGCAGTAGCTGATTATATGCCGGGAGCTGATTAGTCTCGTATGTACATGTAGTTGTATTGGTTTCTAGTTCAATGTCTGCTCCGGGTAAGTAGTTAGAAAAGATCCGTTTAGGCGTGTTGTTTGAAAGTAATATTCTAGTCAGTAGAGCCGGCGTGTTCTTGTGTAATAGGTAGTAATTGTTCTTTTATTGGGGACTGTGACTGTGGACGTAGAAGTACAGGTGCAGCGCAGCGCTACTGCTGTAGTAGCGTGATAGAGGACCGATATGCTGGTTATGTTATTACAGCTGCAATGGAAACTGGATTGTATTATTTCGTGGGTAGTGTATTGCCCTGAATATCATTACGTTTTATTTAATCTATGTGAAAGTCTGGCAGGTGACATATTCGTGTTTCATGTAAGACCCACACAACTCACACAGTGCAGGTGGAGTGTATGGCTGAGGCTACATGTAGGCAGTCTTTGTTACGTTTTTCTTTTCTGAGGAAGAGCTGGATTCAGATGACGTCTCTAGTCGGAGGAGTGCTAGTTCCTAAGGCTAAATTATGTGCATCTCACTATTTTCCAGCGGTTGAAAGTGTTCTCCTGTGAGCTACAGGCTGTGTTTAGGAGCATGTATGAACAGGGTGAAGCAGTGATACACGCAGTCTTCTATCTCCCCTGTTTGCTTAGGGACGTTCCAGAGGATGTGGACAGTGTGAAGCAGTTCACCAGTGAGCTCATCGTGGAGGCAGTTGTGCGATGTCTGCGTGTCATTGATCCGGCCTTGGGCAACGGCCTGTCTCCCTCCCTACCTCCCGGCATGTCTGCTCGCTTCCGCCTGGGGATGAGTCTAGCTCAGGCTTGTCAGGTAAGGGATGCTCTGTAGTAATGGCTGTAAAGCTTGCAGCAATCTGCAGTAGGTGTACATCCTGTAAATCTGTTTTAAGTTTGGTTGAGTACATCTAAAGTGGTATATAAATTACCCTTTTTTTTGTTTTTAGATTACCCTTTGGTGAACTTATATGATTTAGTTTGTGCTTATATTTCATATATTTGTTAATTCATTTAAGGTACTTGTTGTTTGTGGAATCATTTTCATATGGCAGCATTCGTCTTGTCCTGAAAGACAATCTCCTGGCATCCTGCATCAGAGTCCCCTGTGGCTGCCAGTTAACATTTTAGTCTGAAAGTGGAACGTTTTGTGGCCGTGCTTGTGTGACATGGCAATGTGTGTCTAGGACCTTGGCTACAAAGGGGAAATCGGCTACCAGACCTTTCTGTACAGCAATGAGCCCGAGATTCGCTCCCTGCTCATGTTCCTGGTGGAGAAGTTGCCGAGAGAGAGTGCGGAAGCCTCCAGCCAACCTGCTGGTATGCAGAGAAGTGCATTGCTCAACCGAACGGCCGTTTTTCACAATCTCATGTAGTGGATCTTACGCCATCAGGGTATTTGCTGTTTTACCGTTAATGTATATATTGTGGCAGTAGGATGAAAACTGCGTTTGTCCACTTTTTGACAATCATGACTTACCAGAGATGGAATACACTCATTGTCCTCTGTCTCCTGATAGTGTTTGACATCTAATTCACCAAGATGTTTTAAGAAGTCATCTATTAAAGTAGTATGTTTGTTTATAGTAGTTATTTGTATTCATGACCGTCGTTTATGTGCATTTCTTTATATCGCTGATTTTAACAACTTAATATTAACTAACTAACATCAATTGTGAATATAAAGTGAGATTTGTGTCTTGTTAACACTGCCACACTGACAACAGTCTACGTATGTACATTTAAAACATTAAAACATTCACTGATGTGTAAAGATATGTTTCTATTTGTGGTGCTGGGGATGTCTCTTTTCCTTGGTTTAGGTTTATATTGTAAAGTAGTTTCTGAGAAAATGCATTTTTCACGCTACTGAAATAATGGACTTTTGGAGACGCGTGTTTTTCAGCAGACAGTAATGATATACTGTTGTTAGGAGTTTCTTGCTTCAGATACTGTGCAGTTGTGCCTAATTTTGTAAAACTGTTCAAGTACTCTAAACTAAAAAGTACAATAGGCAGATAATTTTATAGCATTAACCAGTGATAAATTTACACTCCCTCACATCTCCCTCCCAGGAAAGTCAGCCCTCTTGCTGAAGTCCATTGCTGCTCAGATCAAAGCTCAGCTGTTCTTACCCTGGGCACCTCCTTCCTGCCGGCTGCCCCTCCTCTGCCAGATGCAGGTACACCGAGACCACATACCATTCTATTGAGCTGTCAGATTTTTTTATTTTCTATTTTTGCCTGACAGGCATCACCAACTGTAATCTGTTTCTGGTGGAAAATGTTCGGTAAATGCTCATCGACGAAATGTCTGTTTCAGAGTCCAGGCCTGTCTAACGGTTTTCATACTCAACCCTTGAGTTTACCTCATCGTTCAAGATCCTCGGGGAAAACCCTGAAAGGTATATCGGCATTCACGCTGAGGAAGATCTCACACAATGAGAAGATCTGTACGTGCTCTTTCTGTTACAGTAGCAGCAGAATCGTGACATGCTGGGGTTTATCTTCTCGTCAATGTGTGACCTTTTGCAGAGGTAAAGGATTACTACAGGGATTTCTTGCTACCCGTGACCGCCCAGCCTTCCCAGAATTCCTCGGTGCCAGCTTCCCTGCTGGAGCAACATGCCTTGGACCTCAGCGCTGCCCAGGAATGGGAGAATGAGTGGAACAGTCAGGGCCTCCTGTCCAGACTGAGTCCTGAGGTACACACACGCCCCACATAGAACACGCAGGATTAGACGTCATTATGTTGGCATATCGATCAAAGTGTTTTATAAGGCGTTTAATTTGTACTTTAGTTTTTAGGTTAAATTCTACATAGTATGCCTCTTATGCAGGTGAGAAAATCTTCAATGAGACATTGCAGCTGGTAGCTGGGATTTAACTTTAAGGTTACTATACAGCTATGATTTTACTGAACCAGTCATTGATGACCAAAGCCAGCGTACAATCAGCGTACTTATTCTTAAGTCACATTTCTTTTGTGCTCTGAACTCTGTACTTTAATAACAAATTGGAGATGTTCGGAATGTAATTACATGAGAAATGCTGCTAACTTTCACTTTCTCTGCTTTCCGCTTGCTGCTGCAGGACTATCGGGCTCGGAAGCGCGCGCGGCTGCAGAAGCGCATCGAGGAGCAGCTCCGGGCTGCCGCCCAGTCCTGCTCCGACGTCCAGAATGCGTCGAGGTCGGGCCCCGATTTGGTGGATCTGCTGCCCTCCTTTGGAGGGGGCACCGTCGGGGATCAGCTCCTCACCAAGGGCACGCGTTTCACGCACACGGAGAAGTTCACCTTCACCCAGGTGGGACTCCTTTGTGGTAGCAGTGTGGGGCTCTCTTGTTTTAAACAGAACTCGTTCAGTCGGCATAATAAATCACTGGATATGATTTATTATGAAGTTTCACGAAATTGCCTGTTTTAGGATCCGGAGAAAGCTGTCCAGCAGATGGCAGCAGCAGTAAACTCGCTGCCAACTTCCCACCAATCGGAGGAGGACATTCGGGCCCAGCAGCAGGAGGAGCTGGCATCCATGCAGCAGCAGCTGCAGCAGCTCTCCTTGCATGTGGATGAAGTCGGCGGGGATATAAAGAAGCTCACTGTGGCAATCAGCAAGGTGACCACTACAATAAGCACTGAAGTATATTTAGTCTGTTTGCATTTTATATATCTGTTATGGTCTGTAGTGTGGTATGTTCTGCTTTAACTGCAAAGTACACATTGTTCTGTTTCTCACTGTGGGACAAGTGTTTCCTCTGTGTGAAACTTTTTTGTAATCGCTGTGATATACAGTATAATAAGACTTGTGTATTGCCATGTTGAAATAGCATAACAATACAATCATAAAATGCATGTGTTTTTGTCCGCGCGGAAGTGGCATCCGGTCCGGGGTGTCCCGGGGTGTCCCGGGGTGTCCCGGGGTGGTCCGGGGTGTCCCGGGGTGGTCCGGGGTGTCCCGGGGTGGTCCGGGGTGTCCCGGGGTGTATCCCAGTCTATCTGAGGCAAGCTCCAGGTCTGCTTCCAACTGTCACCAGAATAAGTGCTTGAAAAATTAAGGATGGAAACACTTTTGTGCTGCTTAATTCTTTTATTTTTTTGTCTCGGGATCATATATCCTCTGCGACAGTTTGTGACCGTCTGCCTGTACAGGTATCAGAGGAGCTGAAGCAGCAGGAGCAGAGTAACACGGAGAAAGTAGCCACCATTCGGATCAAGAGGCAAACGGTCGACCTGCTGCCCGACGCAGACAACAACCTCGCCAAGCTGCAGGTGACCGGCCTGGTGATGAGCAGCACACGCACATCTGTGATGATTAGCAGTCCGTTTAACATGCAATTGAGAAAACGGGGTCAGACAGTCCCTGGGCCATTCGGTGGAATAAAGGCCTTGCTCAAGGGCCGAATGGGATTACAAACTGTCAACTTCCGATCACAGCAGCATCCTAACCTGCTGAACCACACACCGGCCCAACACTTATGGTTTAGGTTCAGAGTGAGTTTGGAGCCCACACAGAAAGCGCAGGGGACACTGTGGATGGGATGCCAATGTAGTATCATTTAAAAATAATAGTAATATTTCTTAGTACACTTTTCTGTGTTTTATTCACATTCTAACAGAATATGCATTTTGTGATTATGTGGCCATAACATTGGTCAGGAGCCATATGCATATTCGGCATGTGTCTGCACAGGCCTTGGTGGATGCCAGCTCGCGGCGGGTGGCAAGCCTGTCCTCGCAATGGGAGAAGCATCGTGCCCCGCTGGTGGAGGAGCAGCAGCGACTGAAGGAGCTCTGCAGCAGTCAAGAGGTAGCTCTTCCTGCGGAGCGGGTTGGGTGGTAATACCTGAACTCCGGGTGACCCCATTATGTACTTGTTTGTTTTCCCCAATGCCTCGAGTGTTTCTGTCGTAAAAATGCATCAGGTTTTCATTGCTGTTCTAGCTGGAGTCTTCACGCAAGCTTTCTGAGATCAAAGGCCTTCATGAAAAAATAAGACAATCTGCTGAAGATGCCAAAAAGAAGGAGGGACTCTACAAGCAGCTGGTGAGTGATTGGAGGATGGATGTGCAGAAATGGGTGGTGAAGGTCATGCTCATTGTCACGCCAGGTCCTGCCCCTTATCCTCCTGCTTCCTTTGACATGCAATTCGGTCCTGAAATGTAATGACTCTGCTGCTGCTTCTCACCAGGTAACCGAATTCGAGAACCTGCCCAAAGATGTCTCGCGATCAGCATATACGGTCCGGATCCTAGAGATTGTTGGCAACATCAAGAAACAGAAAGAGGAGATCACAAAGGTTCTGCCAAATGGCTTTTGGGTCTATTCAGTCTTGCCATTGCTGTGCTTTGATTTTAGTTGTTAATCTAAATCATTCGTCTGAATTTGTGGCATAACAACTTTATAGAATAGAATCTGGAATATGAATCTTGGTAAAAGAGAAATTAAATTCACTTGCAGAGATTCCTATGTTTGTGCTGAGGTTTTGATAAGCAGCATATTTACTCTTTTCTTGATAGATCTTGTCGGACACTAAGGAGCTGCAGAAGGAGATCAACAATCTGACTGGCAAGCTGGACCGGACTTTCGCAGTAACAGATGAACTAGTCTTTAAGGTTGAACATGTTAGCTTATATTATTGCCCTCTGGTTCATGTATTAATTTTCTTCAGCCATGCTCATGATTCCAGCTTCTAAATTTGATATGTGTGTTGGTTTTGTATTAACCCCAAAGCCATCCTGTCTCCATTACTTCCTCATTTCTCCCACCTAACCCAGAAAAGGGAAACTCTCAGTACACCTCTTCCTTCCAGCCAGATACCAGCATCCTGTGGTTTTATGCACCTTCCCTGGAGATATTTTCAGCAATGTTATCTAGCTATGTTTTTAATGTGCTTTTTGAAATTTTTTAGCTGCCTGATCTGTTTCAAACAACAGAGATTGTCTGCTTCTTTGCAGGACGCTAAGAAAGATGAATCTGTTCGCAAATCGTACAAGTACCTCGCAGCGTTACATGAGGTGAGGGAGAGATTCTCTGTCATCCCTGTAATGTGAAATGCAGTCAATATACAATCATTTGGTGGGAAAATATTCCGATGTGTTTTGATAGGAGTCCTGACTCGTGGGAGATGCCTAGAAGTGAAATATGGAGAGAGAGTAAAAAGGGTTTTAAACAATTCAAATTAGAGTTCAGTATTGGGAATTGGCGAAATTCCGATAGAAAAAAAGAAATGGATAAGACTCTTGATCACATCTGCCGTATGCAGGCAACTGTTTTGTTACTGAAATCCGGTAATTTTCTTTTATCCAGTAAAATAATTCAGTCCCTACAGTGGATTTATCATAGAGCCATGTTTCCATAAGTCCAGCTGTTTAACCCCTGTCCCTTTTACAGTCTAATTATAATGGCCTTGTGTTCATCCCAGAACTGTACCCAGCTGATTCAGACCATTGAGGACACTGGAACAATTATGAGAGAAATCAGAGACCTGGAGGAACAGGTAAGTAAGAACTGCCACCATGCTAAAGAACCAAATGAAGTCGAAGCACATTCTGTAGTACTTCATAATGCACAAAGCAGGCCCTGTATATTTACAGGCTGTGACCTGTGAATGGGAATTTAACATAATGCATGAAAGTAAATATTAAGACATGTGTTCTTTAGATAAGGAAGAATGACTCATTCTGTACTGGATCCCTTTCAGAATACTGAGCTAACAAATGTGACAATATTATAGAATGACTTTAAAGTGATAGAGAAGTTAATTAAATAAGGCACAGTCAGCAAAGCCTTTTTAAACTTACAAGTCAAGAAAAATGTCTATTGCTTTGTATAACATGGGTAATAGGGTCATTCCATGACAAATCGCCACACTTTGGAAGTTTTAACTTTTTTTGGGGGGGGACTATGACTTTCACTGGCTATATTTACCTACATATAAGCTGCACAGAAATGATCCTCATATTGCTTTAAAGCTATTGTCCAGCTCTATAGATTGAATAATATGCCATCCCCATATGAATAATTATTAGCTCTTATACTACGGGACCGTTGAATGCTTGAATCTGATTGGCTGACGAACGTTCTGAGGTGTGCAATTATTTTCAGGGAAACGCACGGCGAACATAGTTCCACGCAGCTCTCTTGACCGTATTACAGTTCCATATCACTTCGCATAGTTAACTTTAATAACGGAAATTAGCATACAGTACCTATACAGCACACAGGACTAACAAAAACAACAACATGACAGACGATTTTCCGAAAGTAAATTTTAATATTTACGGTGAATATGAAACTTTCAACAACTGGGCTGCAGCAGTATTAGACAGTCCAGATGAAAAACAACATAAACGGAAGCTGTGGGGAACTAGCTGTGGAAATATAATTTTAATTAAAACATTTTAAATTAGACAATAAACCGGACGAATCCCTTGAAATATATCATCTGATCGATGTCTTGAGGTGTGGCAACCGTAGTATAAGCGGAATAATTGACTCCGTACCGTTGAATTATTAGAAAAATAATGCACACCCGAGGTGTAACGGCCACTCCGCTTCGCGTCGTGGCCGCATCACCACCTCGGGTGTGCATTATTTTTCTAATAATTCAACGGCCCGTCGTCAATTATTCCTTACATAATGTCATGAATATCTCCAGAAAATTTGGCCTTTGGTTTTCGAGTTGTTGCTGAGATACACATTTCACATAAGTAATGTTATCAGAACCACAGTTCCTTACAATGCTGTCAGCAGTAGCAGAACAGCAGTTAGTGATCAAGGCATGGTACAGGGTTATCATGGTACAGGGTTATCATGGCGCAGGGTTATCATGGCGCAGGGTTATCATGGCGCAGGGTTATTATTTTTCATGACAACTACAACCATTGCCAGAACTAGCTGTGGAAATATAATTTAAATTAAAACATTTTAAATTACTATTAAAAATTAATAAAAAGACAATATTGCCAAAGTAACTGGCAAAAGAGAATTAATGGTACAATCAGAATAGTTTATTTTCCTCTCTAGTTTACACTTTTGACTAGACACTGGCCTACTAAAAGGGACCTTCATTTGTCAAAAACCTGAAAAGCTAACAAAAATAAAACTAGATGGGCTTTTATGCTGCTAGGGCAAGGAAAGCATTTCAACATTGGTGTAATAATGCATAAGTTACATACAAGCAGTACTGTTTAAAGGGAAGGTGGGAATGTAAGAACATAAACAATTGCTATACAGTCAGACCTCAGACATTCACCAGGTTAGGTTGCAGAACCTGTTGCAAATGAGGAGAATTTGCGGATGTTTGGTCGAGTCACTAAAAATGGTAATATGTGCTTATTTCTATAGTTTAAACCTTAAATATGACCCCAGTCATGCTCTCAAAACACTTTTAATTTCATTTAAAAGTTACCTTAATTCATCACCTTTAAAATAAATAAATAAATAAAACAAATGTTTGATGTAAAAATAGAGTACAGTATTGCCTAACGGATATTTGTCACACTAGCACATTTACAGTATAGTAATGTTACCGCTACAAATTCATAGAACATGGCATTGGCTGCTGTTTTCCTTTGCATTCACAGTAAGGTAAAACGCGTAAACAAACCGGACTGTAAACTTATTGACAGAAGTCATATATGTAACCAAAGTACAATTCAATAAAATATATAAAGGAAACATGTACATGTAATTTTCGCGGATCTGTGTGGGAATGCATGGGGGCTGGCTGTACTCTCAATTTACAGTCCATCAGAGCCTTAATGCAGCTTTGAAATTGTGCATGTCTGCACATCCTGATGATCCATAACAAGTTGGCATGGGAATGAATAGGATGGTGATGGTCCAAGAGGATGTAAAAAGCTCAGTCTCAACTCTCCAGTGCTGGGCATAGTTTCTTCAACACATCCTAGCCACCAATTATCATCATATGCAGCCATGACATAACCTTTGATGCCTGCAAAGTCGAGTGATTCCCTAAGTGTGCACTTACACTGGACCGATTTGCACACCTCACTCACCTCTGATGAATGCAAGGCATTTATTAGCCATATTTATCAGCCATGTGGGCCTTTTCAGTAGTGTGTCTGCAATGACATTAATGAAGCTTTCCTTAAGTTTGTGTAGCATATTTGTAACCTTAATGTTATTACTTACACCTGTGCTTGTTATACAATTTCATGTCACTTTGGCATAAAAAGGCCCATTAGTGATATGAAACCATGTGATGCTACCTTTACGTCAAGACCTTGCCTTAAAAACCAGACCAAATTTTCTGGAGTTGTTCATGACATTATGATTTAGCTTTAGTAAAAAATTGATCAATTTTGAAATATAGGTTTTTTGTTATTGAATTTTTTAATATTTTAATCAGTTATTACATAGTAACTATTCATAGGGGGATGGCATATTATTTGTTCAATCTATAGAGCTGGACAATAGCTTTAAACAATATGAGGAACATTTCTGTGCAGCTTATATTAAGGTAAATATAGGCAGTCAGTCATAGTCGTCCCCCCCCCCCCCCCCCCCCCAAAAAAAAAAAAAAAGTTCACGCCCAATTTCAGTTTCATGAGTTACTCATGTGACCAAATCAACATGCCAAGTTTTGTTAAAATCCGTGACGATGAGTCCGAAAGTGTGATGATTTGAAATGGAATGACCCAATAGGAGGGCTATACACAGGGGTAAAGGTGAGTTCCAGAGTTCTATTTGTAAAGGACAATCATAAGTAAATATTGTGTGCGGTGGGAACAAAACTTTTCTTAAACCTGGGACCCCCTACGACTGCCGCATTATCCCACGGGACTAAGGACTAAAGCCCTGGGGGTTTAAGTTTTCTTTCTCTGGATGTGTGGTCCTCCTTGAATGTTACACAAACACCCCCAGCTCCATAAAGATAATGATACTGACATTTTGTCAGTTTTACAATATGTGTTTGCAGACCACCAGAAACTGCTTTATTGACCTTGGGGGTAGCACAAGTCCCAATTAGTCTAAACAGGGCCTTAGAAATCAGTCACATGGTGGGCGGCGAAGCCCAGCTTGGGCTAGAATGACCTTGCATGCCTAGTTCTTTTCAGTTGAGCACCACTGAACACACTGCCAAGAACATGTTATGCTGTGTGTCATTGCTTTGAGTGTTATTGTCCAGTGAGACATGCATTAACACTAAATATTCACAGATCGAGACTGAGAATGGCAAGAAGACCCTCAGCAACCTGGAGAAGATCTTAGAGGACTACAAAGCCATTCGACAAGAGAATTCAGCTCTGGCAGCAAAGATCAGAGAGGCCTGAGATTGACAGATTGCTGCAGTGCTCCCATTGGTACTTGTTGATAATCTTGACTGGCAATCCACCTTGACTGCCTGCTATGGAATAAGCACAGCATCCCCAAACAGACTGGCCTGTCCAGCTCTGCAGCAGGGCTTTCTGTAGCGTCATTGCATTGCCTGTCCAGAAGAGTACCAAACTAGGGGAGGGAGGAATTTTTTGTACTAAAATTACTTTGAGATCATTTTTAATGCACATATTTACATAACGCTAGTCTTGAACATCTTAATCTGTTGCCATATGATATGAATGGGAGCTCAAGGGGGCTGCTTTATGTATAAGTTGGTAGTACCGACAGCACTCCATAATATGTTGCCTTTAGTTTCTTTGATCACAGTGGAATTAATTGGACTGATCTAGTGCTGGATAATAAATATTGCATTATACTCAGATATTCTACAAGGGGAAATGGGGACCAGCAAACGTAATTTTTCTTGGATTAATTATTGGATATTGCCAATATTTTCAGATTATTTCTTTTCCCAATTTATCCAGTTTCAGCTAAAATTTTAATAGAAAATATACTCTCCAGTATACATTTTAGCTCACTGGAAATCAGTATGCTTGGAAGTATGATCCACCTTATAATTTTTTTTTTTAAACAACCCAAAGAATTGAATAACTATAACAAGGGTGTAAATTAGGTTATAAAGATGCACACAGCAGTAAGTCGTGACCATTTGCACTTCTTGAGAGGAGATTTTGGATAATTTCTCTATATTAATAAATATGAGTGTGCTTGCTTTGGGTGTGTCCTTCAAGGTCCTTACTATGTATGACTGGTTCCATATCATAAAAGCCCCATTCCATGATAATGTGAAATGCTGGTGACTTGGTTTGAGGGATATGTCAGATCCTGTTCCATAATAACTAACATCAGTGTCTTTTAATTGTAATTTCTGAATTTGCCAGGGAGTTTGGATTATTTTAGTGTGTTTTTCTGTTCTCCCACAATACCATCAACAAAGCATGCTATTAAAATATTTAAATTTGATTTTATAAACTCATTTTCTTGTTACTATATACCAGTAAATTGGATACGCAAAATTTAGTGTGACTTGCTCTTGTGATTTTGGAGTATTAGAGAGATCATGAGTGAGCTGTATTTGTCTGGGTTTTGTTTGTTTGTTTATTTGTTTGTTTTGAACCTTTAAGCTCACAATGCTGCTTATTTTTTTATTTTTTTTTTTTGCTGTATAGGAACCCTTAAGCGTTAATTTTGTTATTCGGCCATGAATGAGTGGTGTTCAGTTAGTCCTGAACTAATCTGGAAATGACCAAATACGCAGTCGCTGACTAAAGAGTGCAGGAATGGTCATTGTGATCATTTTATGCCTGGTGCTAAATGGCAACTTAACTGAATCCTCAGGAGGCCCTGGAACAGTTCAGCTGTCACATTTTATTATCAGTATTTTTCATTGAGAGAGTACGTGGATTTACATCAGTCTCACAGATAGCAAGTAGAAGTTCAGCTCTTTATTAAACAAGACCATATAATTTACACAAGACTAGCTGGAATTCCACTCTTTAACAAAATATTGCTGTTTAATCATTGTGTTTATTCAGTCGTTCAAAATTTGTTAGGTACTGTGTTTAAGTGATTTTGATATCTGACCATGTAGTTGAATAGACTGGAATAAATATGGTTCTATTTGCAATCATCTTTAACTAGAATTTTAACTGGTCACATGAATGTCATCATAGTCTCTAATCCTGGGGACACGTTCTCCCAAAAACATTCAAGCTCTCCAATATTTCTTGGTTCTTTTTTTTTTTAACTTTGATGCAATTTGAAAACATACATTTGTTTGGAAAGTGGGTTCAGATAAGTATTTGTTCACCACTTGAAACCATGGGATTTTTTTACACCGTTTCTTTTTCTAAGTTCTTCACTCCCTCTCTAGTGGTCATATTCTGACCCTACACCTAAAGGGTTTAAGTACTATGGGTCTGTTTCCAGTATAATGAACTGGGAATTTGCTCTAGTTATTTGTACAGTTTTAAGTGCAGGCTTTAGCATTGTGTCATAGAGCTATATACCTTGTTAGTCTTCCCTGGATCCTTTCCTAAATGAGGTACAAAGCACTTTTCTTCTCATACAAAATTTTGTTTCATATTCAGTGTACTTTGGTTCAACTAATTATATTCCCAATGCAGTGTTTGTAATCAGTACTGATTTTACATTCATTTAATAGTGAGTTTGTCAACAAAATCCAATATAAAGTTGAAGCAGAGGAAAATATAGCCTTATTTTCTTTTTCTTGGACCTTGGTCAGTAGGAAAGGGTATTGAATAACAAAAACTTTTGGGGATTTAAAAGTGTTAATTATGGTAATGCCAGAAAGAAAACAAAAGCACCACCTCTCTGCCTTTGACATTTACGAAATACATCTAAATAAATGTTTTTATTAATATTTTCCATATTCTGTGAAAAGTATCACAATTGTCATTCATGCATCTCTTCAGACTTTTTCATGGTTGGTATTAATGCTGAAATATTTTAAATGAATCTATACCATCAGTTGAACTAGCACTGTGAATCACAATTGAATGTGGCTTTTTTGTTAGGTTCATTAAAGCAAGAATTTTAAGTTTTTGGGTTTTGGTGTTTTTTTTTACGCCATCTCTTTTCATTCTCAAAATGTTCCAGGATTATTTTCTATCCTCCTGAGACCCGAGGAAAAAAGTGTCCTTCAATTTTAGGTTATTTGTCTTTGGAGGAAATAAGACATCTTACAATTTAGATTTTTTCAAATTATTTTTAATTTCACAGCATGTCCTCTTTAGTGTACAACAGGAATAAATATGTTTCCTTACATCAGTGAAAAGAGATGCAAAAACAACATGTCCACTACAATGGACATAAATGAATGGGTGGGGTCTCAGGAGTTTAAAGCAGACTTCCTTGTAGTTACCAAGAGAAATATATTACTAACTACATAATATTCAAAACACCATCACCCTGTTTGTGATAAGTGGTTATGGAACATGGCTGAAGAGAAGGTAAAACTGCCTAGACCCAGTTTAAGCCTGTATATCATGTAGTTAAACAGAGTTATTGTATTCCCCAGACTGGGAATACAAATGGTTTTGGAACTGGACTGCCACAGGCACTTATCTCGTTAGTGTGATTACTCAAAAAGAATTTGACTTTTTTTTTTTTATCTGGAAATTTTGAGACAAATCACACTAAAACTGAACTGATTAGTGGCAGAGGGAAGGGTGATCACAGAAGTCTCTTGAAATTATGAATGTGATAACTCAAGAAGTATTCAATGGATCTTATTACCATTTCAGAAAAATATTATATGGATGAAGATCTACATCTGATTTTGTTTTGAAACAAATTACACAAAAATTGAAGCAGTAGCGCTAGGTGGCACCCAAGGATGCCGACTGGGAGAGGAAACTGGATCAAGGGGCATCCAAAAGGGCCCTCTGACTTTTAAATAGTCTGCTGCAATAATTAGTCAAAAATACATAATTTTGAAAACCTCATATTGTATTTGTGAAATCCTTGACATGAGGGGGCAGGGGGGCTTGGAGATCATTTTTCCCCCAGGCACAAGCATGACACACAGCGGACCTAGTGACAGCAAAGGTAACAAGGGGCGGCTGCAGAGGACACTAGATATAGTGAACACTCTAGAAATTAGATATATTTCCAGGGACATTTCATTTTGAAGCCCCAAAACTGAAGCAATGCTACTTAGTGATGGCAAAGGCTAGAGCAATGTTTCTCAAACCACTCCTTGGGGACCCCCACAGAGTCCAAATTTTTGGTCCCTCCCAACTCTCAGGGAATTATTATGACAACATCTAGTTTCATATGGTACATGTTCTTATTTCCACAAATCCCCATGAACGCAGCTGTCCTGAATTTTCAGAATCTCTTAATATGGATTATTATGATAATAATATTAGTTCTAATCAGGGATGGGATCAAGTCATTCCTTGGCAAGTCTGAGTCAAGTCTCGAGTCCAAACATTGCAGTCAGAGTCAAATCTTGAGTCATTTGCCCTGAAGTCATGGTCGAATCCAGGTCTATCCCTTCATTTTTGCTGTCAAGTCACAAGTCATAAAATTTGTGACTCAAGTCCAAGTCAAGCTGTGAGTCATGTAACTTGAGTTACTACCTATGTCAGTTTATTACCTTTTGGGATTAAAACTTGCTGCCATAAAAACCCACCACAGTACGTCATAGAATATGTTCTTTATAGGTAGAAATATGCTGAAAAGAAAGTGTCCATTTATGCTTGTCCTCACACAGTTTTACATCTGTGCATATGCAGGGAGTGCTGCATCGTTCCAATAGACTATCTCAGGAGATCTTGCATTCAGGCAATTGAAAATGCAGACAACAGAGAATTAATATACACATCAATTATAAAATTAACATTACCTCGACTTTTCTCGCGTCAAAGGGTCCAAGTTGGGACCAAGTCTCGAGTCGTTGCCCTCAAGTCCAAGTTGAGTCCAAGGCTTTCCATCACTTTTGTCAAGTTGAGTCACAAGTCGTCAAATATGTGACTTGAGTCCGAGTCGCAGGTCAGTGACTTAAATGCCCACCTCTGGTTCTAATCAGACACAGACATGCATTGTGCCTTTCCAGCCAAAGTACTTAGGCTATACTGCCTGTAATGTACTGCTGTTTAAGGTAATGAATCCATTTATGGTGTTCTTGGTGCAGGTCAAAGTACGTTATGTTACATGTGTAATATTCTTTGCATCAAAGAAAAAAATATCATATGTGAGAAGACTTACCATCACGCTGTTATCAATTTGAAAAAGCCGAGCAAATACGGAAAAGTGGCAAAATGTGCCAATTTGAGGCTTGCAGTTGAATTTTCCCAAAGGTTTCGTTCACGAAATAATGAGTGCATTAAGTTTGAAGGATATAGGTGTATGTCCAGGAAACCAGGAAACTTCTTTTAAAAGTGCATTTGCGCTTTATCACGTTGGATGAGCGTTCAATACACAATAACACCTCGAGAAAACTGAAATTCCAGCAACATAACACAAGCAACACAAGTCTTCAGTCACAAGGACGCATTTTGGGTGTTGTTTGATTGGCAAGCTCGTCCTTCAACCAACATCAAATTTGCCGAAATGGACTGCAGCGATTGGCGGAAATAGTCCTTTGTTCCATATTTCTCCACCACACAGCGCGCGAGGAATTTCAAACGCCTTCACTTACGTGGCTGTCGGCTACTACCCGGCTTAGAATTATCAAACGGCCGCTGCTTTTCGGAAATAACGCGGAATTAACAACGCAGTCACTGGAAACAGACCATTCTGCTTTTTAAAAGAGGAAAGAATATACACCTAATTAGCTAGGTGAGTAATGAATGAATACACGCAACCCGTTAATGTATAAAGCGAGGACTTGTCTTGAGTTATTTTGAATCGGCCACGTAAAGGACCGCAGAAGTCACTATAGTCTATAGGTGATGGTTCCTGTTGATATTTGTACGGGTGGTATCTTTGGTTAAGTTTTATATTATCGACACTATATAGTTGTTTTTAACCGATACTGAGCCAGCTAAACGCCCGCGGTTGGTGTTGCTGACAAGCTAGTTGGCTAAACTAGTTAGCCTCGTTCTTGCGAGGCAAAGTTTAGCGCAGTCATTTAGGACTAAGTTCTCTAATTACCTCTGAAAATAGACAGTAGTGCCCTTAATGGTGAGGGACACGAATATTCGCTGGGAAGCTCTCTATAGATTATACATGTTTATATATATAAAGAGTCTTAGGCTGTTGGAAGCACGGCGTACTCTTTTGTCCTGTCGGCTGTGATAAACCAGTTCCAGTGCTCCGTGTGTATATGTTAGATACCGATATTCTACGTAGGGGCAAACTGTGTTTTTGGATAACAAAACTGGCACAAATGGCGAGCTCTCCTCCGAGAGGATATTGAATAACGCTGCAAGCTGCTTTTAGTTTTACTTCCTGTTGCGCTGTTTGAGATGTCAGGGACCCAAAAAGGAAGTATTCATTGTTAATCTGAACAAAAACAGTAGTATCCCTCTAACATAACACTACATTTAAGGTGACTCTTGTTCTCACAGTCGGCTACCTGGTATATTACATGGTGTTAAGAAATTTCCTTACGTCGTTGAAGTCAGATTATTGATGTATGCAACTTTACCATACACGAGATGTCGCACTTTAATTTCAAAGCTTTAATTTACAAATCGCATGGATGTAATTTAAATTACAGCACTGACAATATGATTTTGCTGGCAGCTTCATATGCAATGTATGATATGCGCTTTTAAAATTGGTTGCCTTTGAGAACGCATTTCTGATGGAGTGCCCTTGGCATACTTTGGGGCGCTGCTGTTTAACGTCTTATTAGGTAATCTTCATTCTGAGGTGCTGTTTCTACTTAGTAGGATTACATCGAATGTAATTTGCGCGAATCAAATTGCTTAAATCATTGGTTTTTTCGAGTAAAACTTTTTATTGGTAGTTGTGAGGATGTCTTTCATGACTTTTTCCTCATACACGTTTTCTTACAGTGAAGGTATGTGCTGCATAAGGTAGCTGAACTGAATGACCAGAAGTGCCCAGGGTGTCACCATGCTGGAAGATGGAGAAGCTGGTGATCATATGCTATCGCTCCGGGCGGAGGTGGAGCGGCTGCAGATGGAGCTCCAGGAGGCCAGCCAGCAGAACGAGCAGGCCGCCCGCTACGGCTTGGCGATGCTGGAGGAGAGCGCTGCACTGAAGAGCAAGCACAGTCAGCTGGAGGAGGAGCATGAGGCACTAAAGCAGGAAGTGCAGCAGCTCCGAGAGGTTAGAGTGCTGCCCTACATCCCTTTGTGCAGCATATTCAGGACAGGGTCACACAGCCTATCCCAGGGCAGTGGGTGGGGTACACCCCAAACAGCAGTTCATCACAGGGCACACACAGGCTTCGTCACACTGGCAAACGTGCTATGGGCTATTTAGTGACCCCCGGGAGAGAATCAAAATACCAGCAGGACATGGAGAGATGGGAGGTGTGAGGCTACAGTACTCCCCACTGAGGCACCATGCTGTCCAGCCAGACTGAGGCTTTTATTATTCTCAAGTTAACATCACAAGCAAAGCTTGTGACTACTCTTCTGGGGTGAATTCTGTTCTTTTCACCCTTCCTTTAATGCTGCTGGACTTGTGATCCCGATGTACTTAATGCGATTTTGTTCAGTCAACTAGAAAATGGAACATTTCAGATTTGAGTCAGTTTCAGATAAAAGGAAAGCAAATTTCAGACTTCTGCAGGCTGGTTGGTGGTTGCGTCTTGATGGGGGAGGGAAACTGCAGCACAGCATGAAAGGGTCTATTCCTGGGGACATGTGCTTCTAGGATTTTTTTCCTATGGCTGCATGGGGAAGTTCACCAGCATTTCCAGACATTTGCACAAATATGACAGGCAGTAATTAAAGAAATCAGAAGTATTTTATCCAAGACTACTAAGGCATTGTAGAAGAAGCTTTTGAACCTTTGCCTTTTTTCCACATAACATTTAATAGGATTGTGTATATAGTGAAATTCACAGGGTAGAGAAGTAGAAAAGTTTTCTATTCTCATTGCCAATGCATTTTCTGTTGCATCAGTTTTGCCTTGTGTTTACATTGGTTAAATGTGAATGGCCTGGCTGCCCTGGTTTACACACGCTCCTTATAATGCACAGCACTATTTTAAGTGACTGTACATGTAGTGATTCAGTGCCCATATCAATGTATATAATAAATACCTCATCAATAGCAGTCAAGTAGACCCTCTTCAGTGACCATGCATACCAATGTACCCCCAATGTTTCCTTTGATAGTCTGTGGCTATGAGAATTTTGCTGTTATAATTTACACTTTTAATTTGTTTTACTCCTGAAAATGATGTAAATAATTTAAAATGAGTTATTTGATGCCCCCACACAACACCACTGATGTGTAATTTAATAATCCTAATGTTACCGTATTGTGTTTGGTGTGTCCACTTTGAGACATTGGGGCCTCTCATTACCGTGCCATCAGAGTACACCGCCATATTTGTTTACACTTTGACTCTGGTCAGCCTACCTGTGGCTATTTAGTCATAGTGAATCCCTGGTAGTAAACAGTTACTGTGTGGTTGCCTGGATGTCTAACGAGTGTATCTTGGCTGGGTCGTAGGCCCTGGCGGAGTCTGTGAGCAACATGAAGAGAACGGCTTCCGATGGAGAGAGTCGAGAGGAGACCCTCCTGCGGGAGTCTGCCAGCAAGGAGGCGGCCATGGGGACCCGCCTGGAGGAGCTGCAGCTGGAGCTGCGGCAGGCGCGGCTGAGCTTGAGCAATGTCCAGGCGGAGAGCGAGCGTCTGGGAGGGCTCTGTGGCCAGTTTAAGAGGGTGCGTCAGTTTATACACACACACTAGTCAAACTTGATGCCACTTGGGAAGTCATGAGAAAGTATATTAGTTATTTGTCAGCAGTGTAGCGGTAGCCTGACACACAGCCTTATTTCAGTTTGAGTGGGGTCCAGCAATGCATTCGGTTTAACTTTACATTTAAAATTGATCCAAATAATCAAAGCAGAATCCATAACAGGATTAGTTCATTTTTTTGTTCCATATTTAAAATATTTTCATAGTTTGCCATAAATATATGCATTAAGTGTATAGAGAAAAGTGAGGAAATAATGTATGCTGTTTTTCAATATTTATGTCTGACATGCAGCAGGGGCTGCACTACTACTGGCCCTATACAAATGAATTAATTGAATTCTCCAGCATAGGTATGCTTCTGTAGGGGGCAAAAAGCTCTGTTTTTGTGAAGATCTGTGCTGTGTTGTGAAACTGTCATTAAATGCCTTACAGTACACAAGTGTCTGAACTAGTTGTGTTAAAAATGTTTGGGGGGGATGTGGATTTGGATACTTATAAATAAACACTATTATGTTGTCCTTTTTAAGGAAGGTAACTTGTAACTTATTTTGGGAGATTTTAGCTTTTGTGTTCACGTTGATAGTGCTGCAGTTATGTTACTTCAGTATACTGCTTTTATTATATATAAATGTCATCTTTAAAAAAAAAAAAAAAGCTATTTGCTTTTTTCATAGTGAAAAAATATCTTCTGTCTTAGGATTGTGAGCATCTGGAGACAGAGAAGGGACACCTACGGGGGGAACTAAAGGAGTACAAGGTTCGGGAGATGCAGCACCTCCAGGATAACAGTGAGCTGGAAGAGGAGAACGTCTCCCTGCAGAAACAGATCTCCCTACTGAAGGAGAACCAGGTGAACAACTGCGTCCCTCAACAGACATGTTATTTCTACTTATCGGAATGTGAAAATTTACATATCCTGAATAAATATTACATGTAATATAAGCAGAGCCGTACCTATAAATTCTGGACCCCCTGACAAAATGTCAACTTGGGCCTCCCCAGCCAATTTTAGTAATCTAATTTTGCATATTCAAAGGCCCTGTGAATCTGCCAGGGTATCAATGCCCCTCCAACACCCTGGAATTTAAGTGAATCAAATTGCTTAAATCATTCTTTTAATCATCTTCAGGTTAAATTTAAATATTGTTAGTTGTGAGGAAGTCCATTGAGCCTTTTTCTAATAAACTTCTCTCTCATGTGAAGAGGTAGCCAAACTGAATGAGCAGAAGTGCACAAAGCACCACTGTGCTGGAAGACTGAGGCTGGTGATCAGTCACTCCAGACAGCGATAAAAATAATCTCTGCTTCTGATGGAAAAATGAGTAGGCATCTGACCTGAAGGGTGCCCTGTGTAAAAGCCCAAGTAGGGAATATGGGTTAGACCTAGGGATGCAAATTATCGAGTAATTCATTAATCAATAGTTGTTTCATCTTATCGATCGATGATCGATTA